CTAATGTTTCTACCCTTGTAGGTTTTTTTTTTAATTTTAATTTATTTGGGTTTGTCATTTATTAGTTTTTTTAATTATGTTCAATTAGCCACTGTATAGTACATCATTAGTTTTTGATGTAGTGTTCAGTGATTCATTAGTTGTGTATAACACCCAGTGCTCTACCCTTGTAGGTTATGGACCTCTTGTCCCTAGCTCCTTTCAGGATTTTCTCTTTGTCTCTGAGTTTTGCAGGGTTCACTACTATACGTTGGGGTGTTGACCTATTTTTATTGATTTAGAGGGGTATTCTCTGTGCCTCCTGGACTTGAATGTCTGTTTCCTTCCCCAGATTAGGGACGTTCTCAGCTATAATTTGTTCCAATATACCTTTTGCCCCGCCCCCGTCTTTTTCTGGGATCCCATTTATTCTAATATCGTATTGCTCCTTGGTATTGCTTATCTCTCAGATTCTCCCCTCATGATCCAATTGTTTATCTCTCTTTTCCTCAGCTTCTTTATTCTCCATTATTTTGTCTCCTTTATCACTAATTCTCTCTTCTGCCTCGTTTATCCTAGCAATTAAAGCTTCCATTTTTTATTGCATTTCATTAAGAGCCTATTTGATTTCGACTTGGTTAGATTTTGGTTATTTCTCCAGAAAGGGATTTTTTAGTGTCTTCTATGCTTTTTTCAAGCCCAGCTAGTATCTTTATAATCATTATTCTGAAGTCTAGTTCTGACATCTCACTTATGTCCATACTGATTTAGGTCCCTGGCAGTCAGTACTGCCTCTTGTTCTCTTTTTTGAAGTGAGTTTTTCCATCTTGTCATTCTTGCAGAAAGTGGTCGCTTTTCTATTTGTAAAATTGCCGCAATTCTCTTCTTAGATCTCTGGTTGAGTTCAGAGGTGTTCAGACTGATTTAGTAGCTATCTAGCTGAATTCCTGGGACCAGACAAAAATTAAGTTCTACTCCTCCGCCATCTTGGACTCTTCTCCCAACAATAGTTTAATAGTTACTGTTTTATGCACTTGTCTAAATTAGTTAAGGGAAGATAATTACCATACTTATATACTTTGTTTCTTTGTGAACATTCAGATTACATCTGGTGTCATCTCCTTTCAGCCTGAAGGACTTCTTTTGTTTTCTTATAAGGAAGGTCTGATAGCCACATATTCTCTCAGTCTTTGTTATCTGTGGAAGTCTTTGTTTTTGCTTTCATTTTGGATTATTCTTAGAAAATAGAGTTCTATTTTTTGAAAATTAAGATTTGTATAATATAAAATTTACTAGGTTAAAGTGTACTGTTCCATGGGGTTTAGTATATTCACAGAGTGAACATTACCACTAATTCCAGAACATGTCCGTCATTCTGAAAGGAAATCGTATGCTTTTTAGTAGTCACTCCCAATTTTCCCCTTTGTACATCCCCTGGAAACCACTAATCTGCTTTCTGTCTTTATTGGATTTGCCTGTTTTCGACATTTCATTTATTTCTTAAAATATGTGGCCTTTTGTGTCCTCATTTCATTCAGGATAATGTTTTCAAGGTTCATTCATAGAGGAGCATGTTAACTGTGCTTTATTCCTTTTTATGGTTGAATACTATTCTGTCATATGGATATACCACTTTTGTTTATTCATCAGTTGATGGACATATAGTTATTTCTACTTTTTGGCTATTATAAATAATACTTCATGAATATTCATATACAAATCTTTGTGTCAACATATGTTTTCAGTTATATTGGGTATATACCTAGGAATGAATTTGTTAGTCATATAGTAATTCTATGTTTATTTAAGGGATTATAAAATTGTTTTCACGATGACTAAACCATTTAACGTTCCGGGGTTTAAATTTTTCCACATCTACCCCAACTTTTGTATTCTGTGTGTTTTCTTATTATACTCTCTGATTTTAAATGGTACCTTGTGATTTTATTTGCATTTCCTAATGCTGAGCATCTTTTCATGTATTTACTTACTGTTTATATATCTTTTTATATATTTATAAATATATAAATATTATAAATATTTATGCAGATCCTTTGCTCATTTTTTAATTGGGTTATCTTTTAGTTATTAAGTTATAATAGTTCTTTATTCTAGATACAAATGCCTTATCAGATGTGTGATTTGCAAAAATGTTCTCCCTTGAATGTGTTTTCCTTCATTTCGTTGATGCACAAAAGTTTTACATTTTCTAGGAGTTTTATATATTGTCTCTTACATTTAGGTTTTTGATCCATTTTTAGTTAATTTTTATATGTGGTATGATGTGGGAGTCCACATTCATTCTTTTTTTTAATGTGATTATCCAGTTGCCTGAGAACCGTTACTTTCTTTTTTAACAGATAGTTTTGTGGGATATACAATTCTTAGTGGACAAGTTTTTTTTTTTTTTTTTCAGCATTTTGAATATGTCATACCACTACCTTTTAGTGTCCTGTATTGTTGTATTTTTTGTCCATGCCTTTCAACACCTTGGCTTTATGTCCATGTGTAGATAGATCTCTTTGGATATTCATAAGATCTTCCTGGATGTGTAGATTATTATTATTATTATTATTATAATTTGGGAAGTTGTCAGGCATTATTCCTTCAAATATATATGTTTGGCCCTTTTTCTCTGTCTTCTCCTTCTGGGAGTCCGTTTATAAAACATTTTGTTTCCCATGATGGTAACCTTTGAGGTGTTTTCATCCTGCTTTGTGTGCTTCAGATTGGACAGTTTGTTTTGAACTGTTGCCAAGAGTCCTGGGTCTTTCTTCTGCAAGTTCAGATATGCTATTGTGTCCTTCTGGTGAATTTTTCATTTAGTTGTTATGCTTTTTGATTCAATGATTTTCCATGTGCTTCTTTTTTTTACAGATATGTATGTAATTTCTGTCTTGTAATTTGCAATCTCTATTTGACTAGGCTTTGTTGCCATAATGTACTTTAGTTCTTTAAACGTAGTTTCCTTTAGTTCTTTTAATGTATTTATGATAGCTACTTTACAGTCTTTGTCTGCTAAGTTTAACATCTGCGGTCCCCCAACAACAGTTTTTTACTGCTTTTGTCTTTATGGCCCATACTTTACCGTTTTATAATTTTCGTGAAAACTATGCATTTTAGATAATAAATTGTAACCACTCTGGTTTCTGATCCCCTTCCTTGATGGTGGTTATTGTGGTGGTATTTTTGTTTAGCGACTTTCCTGGACTAATTCTGTGGAGTATATCTTACCTGCTGCCTGTTGCCAGTGATGTCTGTACTCAATGGAATGGGTTTTTGTTTTACTTTGTTTTGTTTTCAAACAAAAAGTCTGTTTTTAAAATAAAAGGCTGGCCTTTCAAAGTTAGTATAGCTTGGTGGTCAGCCAGTAATCAGTTATTTGGTTGTATTTAAACCCCTTGTTCCAGAAGATTGCCATTCTTTGCCAGTGGAACTGTGTGTGCTTTAGGGAATGTGTTCCAATTTCATGATTTACACATCTGCCCTGACTTTTACTTTCTCTGATAAAGCCTCACCTTCAGCCAAAAATGAGTAGTTAAGACCCAAATATATAATTTATTCTGAACATTACTTTTTTATGGATGATAAACTACACTTGGCATATATTTCTTTGGAACTTAATTTTAGTATTACAAATTGACCAGGTTCAATAGTATACTTTGTTAGCATAAACAAGTTCATATAATTTTGATAATTTTTAAGATTTCCTTGATAATTTTCAGGGAACTGGGTAGGGTTAATTATATAGGGTGCTATCTTTGGTAGATTAGTCAGCCTTTTAAAACGAATTTTTTTTTTTTTACTTTAATGACTAGTGAATTCAGTGAATATGTCAGTCTCATTAATTACAAACTAAAAAACCAAACCCTTTCTTTTATAAAATATAAATAACTTTCAGACTATTTACTCTTTTAAGTCATTTATATCTCTATTTCATCACTGTAAATATTGGAATTTCACTGTTTAGGAAAACATTCTTAATTTTTAATGTTTTTTTTTACAGCTTAGCTTTAAGTCGTGGGTTGCAATATCACCAGTTAGGCTGGTGATACTTGTAGAGCTTCCTCCTGGAACTCCACTGGGGGGAAAAAAATTAGACTTGGTCATTGCTATCCTGGAAATGGGGCAGATGTGAAATACCTAGGACCAGGAAGCAGCTGGCTTGAAAGATTTACTTGAATAGCATTCTGTGAGTGGTAGGAGTTCCCATTTCTATATCTGACAGTCAGAAGTCACCTAGGCCACTAGAAGACACACCCTTCCCAGTTATCTTCCCCAATAAAAATAAAATATAACAGTTCTCTTAATATAAGGTGGCTTCACTCTAAGTAAGGTATTGCAGTAGTAGCTCTTTGTGTCATCCCCAGTCCTACTGTTAGGGGAAGTTACCTAGATTTAGTTACTCTTGAAAAGTCTTGTTTTAGGGAGCCTGGGTGGCTCAGTTGGTTAAGCGACTGCCTTCAGCTCGGGTCATGATCTCAGGGTCCTGGGATTGAGCCCCGCATCGGGCTCCCTGCTCGGCGGGAGGCTTGCTTCTCCCTCTCCCAGTCCCCCTGCTTGTGTTCCCTCTCTCACTGTCTCTCTCTGTGTCCAAAAAAAAAAAAGTTTTATTTTACAGCTTAAGAATCAATCATAATTAGTGCTTCTGATAATTTATAAAACATCACTAATGATACAGTTCTTTATTCACAGATTCATATATTCCCCTGCTCAATTCATGTCTCCCAAATATAACTAAAATCACATGACTAGTACCACTGCATGTTTCAATTGTTCTCTGCCAGTAGTCTTAAAAGATTCACTGTATTTTCTTTTAATGAGTCACATACAATTAAAATGTAAAACTTTTTTTTTGGAAACTGAGTTATTGGGCAATAACATTTGGACAGTATTTAAGTAATTTAATATGCAGTGAAATTTTTTTTTAGTAATTCAAATATGCTTTCTTGATACTCTTTTCCATTTATACAGAATACATTGTTGGGTGGTTTTTGTTTGGTTGATTTTTGTTTTTACAGTGATGAGAAAGAAGAACAGGATCAAAAAGAAAAATTGGTGTTGTCGGAAGACTGTGAACTCATTACAATAATTGATGTAATTCCTGGCAAATTAGAAATCACTACTCAACACATTTACTTCTATGATTGCAGCATTGAAAAAGAAGATGGTGAGGAGTTCTGGGGGAATAATTTCTGTTGTTCAATAGTTAAGTATCCAGTTTATCAAATATTAATGAGAAGAAAACAATAAGATAGGACTGGAATTGTGGTCTATCATCTAAAAGGAGAAAAGTGAAAGTCAGTATGGGATTCAGTTTATTATTCAACTGTATTAAAGGGAATGCTTTTTTTGTTAATGTTTTTTAAAAGGTTTGGTGAGAGGAGATTGCTGTAAACTTGTTATAAAATGCAATCATAATTTTATTTGTACATTTATTTCCATCAGCTTCTCACCTAATCCTTTATCTGAAAGTAAAAAGGATATTTAAATCTAAAATGCCAATATAAAGAGAAAAGGAAAAATGTTTTTGAGATATAATAATCAGGATTATTCTCTGTTCTCATGAGAAGGAAGTGGAATAGCTATAGAATTTTTTTTTTTTTTTTTTTTTTAGTTTTAAACCATTTAGGGGCTCCTGGGTGGCTCAGACACTTACGCATCCCACTCTTGATTTCAGCTCAAGTCATGATCTCCGGGTTTTGAGATTGAGCCCCGAGTCAGGTCCATGCTGGGTGTGGAGACTGCTTAAGATTCTCTCTCTCCTTGCCCCTCTACCCACCCCCCCGCCACACACAATGTGCGTGCTCTCTCTCTCTTTAAAAAAAAAAAAAAAAATGAAAGAAACCATTTAAACATCCACTAAATTTAACAAATGATTTCTGTGAAATAGGAATTTAATTCCTTTTCCCTAAGTGCCTCTTTTGTCAGGAACTAGGAGATATTTTCTGCATAACATGAGTAACTTCATATGGTACCTTCATCACAAGATTTCTTCTGTTTTCAGGAGTAGGCTTTGATTTCAAGTGGCCTCATTCTCAAGTTCGAGAGATTCATCTGCGGCGTTACAATTTAAGGAGGTCAGCTCTTGAGATTTTTCATGTTGACCAATCCAACTACTTTCTCAATTTCAAAAAAGAGGTATGTAAGATGTTACCTTTCTGGAAGCCCCACAGTGTTAGCTTGAAGTAATTTTCCAGCTGGTGAGCTATAATGAAACTTTGGACTCTACTCATTTGTGAAGTCAAAATATTAGAGGAAAAAATATATTCCTTAGGAGCTAAGTAGTAAATGAATTTTATTGGGATTTATGTTTGAGTATTTTTAGGGTGCTTGTTTTCAGTTTTTATATAGGAGCAGATAAATCAGTAAAATATTAGGTGTCAGCCAATAGGTGCCCCACAGTATCCAGTTGTGAAATAATATGCAACATATATAATATGATGGGATTTATGAAATTGGGTTGGGTTCAGTTAAATAATAATGGGGCAGGTATTTATTCCGGGAATAGAGTAAATTCTTGAATAGTGTAGGTGGTTAAGAGATTACCCCTGAAGCCAGATTACTTGGGTCTAGATACTAGCTCCACCAATACCTGTGTATCTTCAGCATGTTACTTGGGATGCTTGCCCCCAACCTTCCTTCCCTCTGTTACTCACTTGGGGTCAAACTTGCATAATTTTCTGATAGCTCTCCCAGTCTTGTCTAGCTCTTTCTTCATTTTCTGTCACAGGCATCTCTCCTAATAAAATCCTCTGAATATTCAGTTCTATCTTTTTCATTTGCTTTTCAGACAATCTGGATTAGCACAGTCAGTAACAAAGTTTCTGTTCATTTGTAGGATCCAGGTTTACTTATAGATGATTTTGTTCAGACGTTTAAAGGCCATTTCTGGTTCTTTTACAAAAGAATACTTTTTTTACTATTAAAATTTCCCCATAGGAATATACAAAACTTGTGTTTTTTAGGAAGGTATGTCATGTAATTAAACCAACCATGCTTCTGTTGAATACTGTAGATTTGTATAACTTTATAGTTTTTAAAGCACATTTATATATGGTTCTAATCTTCATAACAACCTTCAGATTCACTGTGGCAAATTCTGTTACTGCTTTTTTTATAGATGAGGAAACTGAAGTTGAAAGATGAATTTTATTACTTTACATTTGTATAGCCTTGAAGAATTCAGAAAACTGTAAGGGTAGAGATTATTATGTTTAATGTACAAATGAAGCTCAGTAAATTAATTGATTTGCCAATATGATGAGTATATGACAGGACTAAATTTGAACTGTACTCAAGCTAGTTTTCTGATTCAGTATCTGCTGATCATTCCATTATGCACTCTTACTTTTTCAAAAAATATATGACTTGACTTCACCAAACCTAGTAGAGTTAGTTAAAACCATAATCCTCTATTTATGAGAAATGTCCAGAATGGGCAAATTTGTAGAGGCAGAAAGTAGATTAGTGGTTATCAGGGGTTGAGAGGGAGTGAGAATTTTGGAGGGTGATGGCTAATGAGTATGAAGTTTCTTTCAAGGATGATGAAAATGTTCCAGAGTTAGATAATGTTTATGTTTGCACAGCTCTTTTGAATATACAGAAAAAGCCCACTGATTTGTATACTTCAAAAGGGTAAATTTTGTGGTATGTGAATTATATTTCAGTAAAGCAGTTACAAAAGCCATAATCCCAGCTTGTCTTGATCAATTTTTAAACTATAAAATGCTGTTTTTTATAGGTTAGAAACAAAGTATATAGCAGACTGTTGTCACTTCATTCTCCGAATAGTTATGGAACCAGATCACCACAGGAATTATTCAAAGCATCAGGATTGACACAGGTAGGAAATTTTAACAGTCACTGTTTTAATGTTCATATTATATTTCAGGCTTTTGCCTAAAACATCCTCTTCTGATTATTGTATTTTGGTTATTCCATTCATTCTTCCATTCAAATTGATCTTTTTTTTTTATAATTTTTTATTGTAATGTTAATCACCATACATTACATCATTAGTTTTTCATGTAGTGTTCCATGATTCATTGTTTGTGCATAACACCCAGTGCTCCACGTAGAATGTGCCCTCTTTAATACCCATCACCAGGCTAACCCATCCCCCCACCCCCTCCCCTCTAGAACCCTCAGTTTGTTTTTCAGAA